ATGGCCTCCATCTCAGCAGGTGGCAAACCACTCTTCTAGACAATAGTCACACAGCTAAGCTAGTCAGAAGGATAGTTAATAAAAAATGGAAGAGTCAAACAGCTACGGAGCTTTATTGAGCACAAAATCAAGATGTCAAATATAAAACTAGTCAAGACACTCTGGGACTTGGAAAAGAAATTATTTAACTGCCTATACACAGGAATTCCAGGTCTGGATAATAAATGAGAAATTGAAATAGTGAAGTTATAGCTGTAATGGTCCACAAATCATGCAAGAGGCACAAAATGCATCTCAACTACATAGAATCATAGAAAACTAGGGTTGGAAGGGACCTCAGGAGGTCACATCTAGTCCAACCCCCTGCTCAAAGCAGCACCCTCCCCAACTACATCATCCCAGCCAAAGCTTTGTCTAGTCAGGTCTTAAACACCTTCAAGGATGGAGACTCCACAATCTCTCTGGCTAATCTGTTCCAGTACGTAACCACTCTTATAATGAGAAAGTTTTCCTTATATCTAACCTAAACTTCCCTTGCTGCAACTTGAGCCCATTGCTCCTCGTTCTGTCATCTGCCACCACTGAGAACAGTCCAGCTTCATCCTCTTTGGAACCTCTTCCAGGGAGTTAAAGGCTGCTATTAAATCCCCCCATAGTCTTCTCTTCTACAGACTAAATAAGCCCAGTTCCCTCAGCCTCTCCTCATCAGTCATGTCCCCTAGCCCTTTAATCATTTTTGTTATCCTCTGCTGGACTCTCTACAATTTGTCTACATCCTTTCTGTAGTGAGGGGGCCCAAAACTGGACATGACATTCCAGACATGGCCTCACCAATACTGAATGGAAGAGAAGAATCACTTCCCTCGATCTGCTGGCAATGCTCCTACTAATGCAGCCCAGTATGCTGTTAGCTTACTGTGTAACAAGAGCATACTATTGGCTCATATTCAGCTTCTTGTCCACTGTAACCCCCCTGTCAATCCCCAGCCTATGCTGGTGCATGGGATTGTTCGGTCATAAGTGCAGGACTTCGTACAT